CATCTTCCTCATCAGAGGAGATCGCCACAGACATTGCTGGGCAGATCTACTAGCAAAGCCAAAATGGCATGCCTGCAGATGCATGGACAATCAGAAAGCTTCTTCCTAGGCTCTTCTCAGACAATGCAGGCAAAGCAGAACCTTGCAGAACAGATGCTCGGAATGTTTTCACTCTTCACTGCGAAGCAGATCATCACTCCAGATCTCGGGAAGACCTGGGAGCAGGCGACAGATTCAGAATCTCCCAGACCTCGGCACCTTCGCCAGAGGCTTCGGCAGCAGATTCGCCGTTGGGATCAGAGGTTTCCTCCTCAGAGAACCCTAGATCCCCCAGATCTCGCTCAGTCAGAGCGTGTCCTTGTGGAGGGTTCTTCCAGCAAAGCCAGAGATGATCTCCAACAGACAGATCCCGTCGCCTCACCAGCCAGCCATTCAGAGTCCAGCGCAGACTGACGGCACCGTTCCAGATGAGGCTGATCTGCTCACCAGATGCCAAGCAGAAGAACAGATCCGCTCGATCCAAGCCGAGGAACAGACCAAGCAAGGTCAGAATCTCCGGCTGCTTTCGCAGAAAGGCTTTGCCCAGAGCACAGACCGCCACGTAGGCAGAGACCACCGCAGAGGACACCATGTCAGTGTTCAGAGGACCTACAGAACTGACACAGAGCTCGATCCAATCGGGAATCAGAGAGAACAAGAAGCTCGGCTGCAACCGGTGCTTGCAGAGCAACAACACTTCCAGAACGTGTGCAATGCGAGGTCAGACTCTTTTTCAAAAACTCCTGCGAGATCTGTTCTGCGGCTCACTTCAGAGCCTTCAAAACCTCAGAGGCTTTGCGAAGATACTCCTTCTGTTCAGAACTCAGAGTATCCCAGAGATGCAGGAAACAATCCGGTGCATACAGAGATGCCTCCTCGGACGGAGGCACAGTCTCCTCAGAGGCTTCAGACATAGCTTTCAGTCGCTGCAGCGGCTCAGGCACGGCAGGTGCCAGATCGTCGTTGGGGTCTTGCTTCAGAGACGGCTTCTTGACCACAGCGGAGGCAGACGGCTTCTTGAGCACCCCAGACTTGCCCATCTTGCCGAAGAGAAGCGACCAGAGAGCTTGAGCAGAAGTTACTCAAGTACTTACATGTTGCAATCAGACAGGGGCTGCTTCTAGAAAGAGAGAAACCAAGACAGACACAGTGCGTCCAGATTTTTTCCTTCCTCTGCGACAGAGGTCACGGTGCGTCTGCAAAAAAACAGAGCCCACGGCCAGAGCTTCCAGAGCTTAATTACAGAAACAACAGAACCCCTAATTATTTTATTAATTACATATTTCCAACCCTAGGACCTTTATAAACGTGCCCTATGTGATTAAAGCCTAAGTCAGAGTTAAAGGTTTAAAGGGTTTAGGGTTTTAGAGGGACTAGGGTTTAGGGTACAAGGGTTTTCTGGGGTTAATTAATTAATTACGGGGTTCGGGGGTTAGGGTTTTGAGCTTTGTTCGGGGTGGTTGGAAACCAGAAAAGCTCCAGAGCTCTGGCGCCAGACTCCACGTTTGCTCAGATCGGCTCCTGCACAGAGCCAATTAATTAATTAATAAGTGGTGGTGGTGGTGGTGGTGGTGGTGGTGGTGGTGGTGGTGGTGGTGGTGGTGGTGGTGGTGGTGGTGGCGGGGGTGGTGGTGGTGGTGGTGGTGGTGGCGGTGGCGGTGGTGGTGGCGGTGGTGGTTTCCAAGTACTAATTATGTATAATTAGGCTTTTATTTCTTATTGTTGTTGCTATCCTTATTGTTGTTGCTAGCTTTATTAATTAATTAATTACTTATTACATAATACTGATTTATTGTTCTTATTATCCTTGTTCTCGTTGTTATTCTTAGAGTTATTAATACTAATTATTAATAAATATTGCTATATTATGTAGTTAAACCCTTCACCCCAAGCCCTTAAATAATGAATTATATAACTCCAAGCCCTTAATTAACCCCAAACCCTGAAACCCTTAACCCCAAACCCTGAAACCTTAATTACACAAAACCCCAAACTCTGAAACCCGTAACCCCTGAAACCCTTAACCCCAAACCCTGAAACCCTTAACCCCAAACTCTGAAACCCTTAACCCCAAACCCTGAACCCTAAACCCCAAACTCTGAAACCCTTAACCCCAAACCCTGAAACCTTGAACCCCAGACTCTGAAACCCTTAACCCCAGACTCTGAAACCCTTAACCCCAAACCCTGAACCCTAAATCCCAAACCCTGAAACCCTGAACCCCAAACCCTAACCCCTCCTTGTACAGATAGATCCAGATCCTTCCAGATCTGCAGCAGATCCTGGGCTTCCAGAACCCTAATTAGACTGGGGTTGGTGTGCACCAGAGGGCGATTCAGATCTGGCCTCGGCCAGATGACCGGATACACCAGCCAAAGCCACAGAATCTGCTGCATCAGAAGCTCCTGCCAGCAGGAGCAGAAGCCCGAACCACCAACCCCCAACCCCAACCCCAAACCCCACCTTCAGGCACCTGGCATGCGAAGTCCAGAGCTGGGCACCAGATTCGGCCAGAGCCTAGGTAGGAATCCCAGAGCAGAGGCCCAAACCCCTCATTAACCCCTAAACCCCAGACCCAAAAACCTAAACCCTTCTAGGCCAAGCAACGGGCGCATGTAGTCAGACGGGAAGTAGACCTGCAAGGGTTTAGGGCTCCAGGGTTTCAGGGTTTAGGGTTTCAGGGTTAGGGGCTCAGGGTTTAATTAATTAAGCAGACGATGGGAAGGCCTTCTTGCAGATCTTCTCCCAGATCTGTCCAGAGTTGGGCCCAGATGCGGCTCCACCAGAGCCCTGGGTGGCATAGAAGAATGCCAGATCACGGATATAGAGCTGGTGGTTCTTGCAGTCCGACAGATCTCGGTATGCAGATGCAAGCCACCCGCCCCCCCCAGACACAAAAAACAAAGGCCTGGGTGCAACTAAGTTGCAGCTCTGGAACCAGACAGCCCAGTCCCCACAGTCCTCAGAAACCCTCGCCAGATCCACCTTCTTGGCCATGAAGGTGTCCAGACTCAGATCAAAGCGGAATGCCGGCAGATGAAGACTGCAGAACTAATTAGCCGAGCTGCGAGTCCCAGACAAACGCCACATTCCCGTTCACACGGGCCACATCCTCATCCGTGATCTCATCACAGACAATCCTGTACAGAACCTGTCCAGAATGGGTTGTTCCAGAACAGCTATGGTTAATTGATGACAGATGCACCTCGTTCAGTGTCACCAGAACGGACAGGTAGCAGATGTGGCCCCAGAGCTTCAGCGACCCAGAGGCAGCCAGATATCTCTCCAGTTCGCCTCTCATCCTAGAGCTCAGCACAGACCTGCGGCTCGCGTTGGCAGAGTGAAGCCACCCCCGCCCATCTTGCCAGACGTCGTAGCGAAGCAGCTCCGTCTGCAGAGCCAGGACGCGGTCTGTGCAGAGCAAGGACAGAGGGCCCCTCTGCCGGTCCAGCGTCTGCAGGGCAGATTAATTATTAGACACATGCAGACACACACAGAAACGAACGTGCACTGTCATTTTGGTGCCTTCAGAGTCTCCATCAGATCATCGGCAGTGAGCCCTCCAGACGGTGCCTCGGATAAGAGTAGCAGTCAAACCCAGACCCCAAATCCCCAGAAACCCTCTTGCAAATGCCAGACAAGTCACCCAGAACCCCAAACCCCAGACCCTTTCTCGCAGAAACAGCCAAGTGTCGCCAGGGTTGTTGGCTCCAGATGGTGCCTCAGATAAGAGCAGAAGTCGCACCCAGAACCCCAAACCCCAGACCCTCTCTAGCAGATTATCGCCAAGTCTCGCCAGGGTTGCCCGGTCCAGAGGGTGACTCAGATAAGAGCAGAAGTCACACCCAGAACCCCAAACACAGACCCTTTGTCGCAGATTACAGCCAAGTCTCGCCAGGGTTGGCAGGTCCAGAGGGTGCCTCAGATAAGAGCAGAAGTCACACCCAGAACCCCAAACACAGACCCTTTGTCGCAGATTTTCGCCAAGGCTCGCCAGGGTTGGCAGGTCCAGAGGGTGCCTCAGATAAGAGCAGAAGTCGCACCCAGAACCCCAAACCCCAGACCCTTTCTGGCAGATTATCGCCAAGGCTCGCCAGTGCCCAGGGGTCCAGAGGGTGCCTCAGATAAGAGCAGAAGTCGCACCCAGGACCCCAAACCCCAGACCCTTTCTCGCAGATTATCGCCAAGGCTCGCCAGTGCCCAGGGGTCCAGATGGTGCCTCAGATAAGAGCAGAAGTCGCACCCAGGACCCCAAACCCCAGACCCTTTCTCGCAGATTATCGCCAAGGCTCGCCATTGCCCAGGGGTCCAGATGGTGCCTCAGATAAACAAAAGGGCAGAAGTTAATTACACCCAGACACCAAAACCCAGACCCTTTTTCGCAGAAACCCAAACCCAAAAACAAGAAGACACAGACAAGACTCCCCAGCCAGAGCCATGTCCGCATCAGAGGCTGCCATGGCCTCAGATATTCATTGGCTAATTAGTTAAACAGAAACAAACCCTCGCCAGCTAGGCCAGACTCCTTGCTTCAGTCCAGTGGCGTCAGAGGGAGTTCAGAAGGAAAGCAGAAAGGCCGAGGGCACAGAAGCCAGAGTGCTGCAAATGCCAGAGGTTGAGACTTCACGTACTAATTACTACTATTACTACTATTACTACTATTACTACTATTACTACTATTACTACTATTACTACTATTACTACTATTACTACTATTACTACTACTATTACTACTATTACTACTATTACTACTATTACTACTATTACTACTAATTACTAATTACTATTACTACTAGTATACTAGGCCCGGAGCAGGCCAGAGGTTTACTATTGCCACCCTGACCCCAGACCCTGCCCCAAGAGACCTCCGCGCAAAACAACCTCAGGGGGGGGGGGGGGGGGTTTATTAAAACCACTCCAACATTAAACTTTCAACTTTCAATAGCCTTGGGACTTCCTGCCTCCAAGGTTGGTGGGTCCAGCTTTATGGCTCTTTGGCAATCCTGGAGCACCACTGCCGAAACAAGAGACCCCTCAGCCAATGCAGACCAAAACCCAGAACAGGTCCTGGACTGCTTTGTCGTGCTTCTCCATTTTCGAATAGGCCTGGCCACCTATCAAATTGTGCGTGGCAGATTCTTTATACTTTATACTTTATGGAGCGACTGAAGTGCAACCATTGGGCGGATGGAGAAAGCAGACGCGCAGTCTGGATCATACCTCACAGAGCGAAACATACCAAGACGATAGGCTTCTCCGAGTGCCACCCATTGCCAAGCTCAGCGCTTCAGCGCTGTTGTTGCATCGGACACGGCTCCTACCAGACTTCCCACTCTGCAAGCAATATCACCGATTGTCCTGGCAGGTCCTTTCAGGTCACCCATAATTCGCTTGATCTGAGCTTGGGTGCACCTCCCCAAATGCCCCGTCTCTCCGCGACTCGGCTATGGGCACTGGAATCACCGGAAGGTGCACATCGCTCTCACGAGCCGCTTGTCCAGTTGCAGCGCCTGCAGGCACAGGCCGACTTGGATTGACTGGGGTCCTATGGCCGCACAGAGCGGCGATCAAGCTTAGCAGCGAAGCCTGTTCGCAATCTTGCAATGCACCTGCATCAGGCACGGAAGCAAACAACGAACGCTCCACTCCAAGAAAGGGGAAGACGAGGAGGAGGAGGAGGAGGAGCTCAACAACGACACGACGAAGCATGACGCCTTCCGGGTCGTTCTGCTTCAGACGAATGTGGGCACCTGTCAAGCAAACAAGGATGCAAAGTCACAGAGGCTTCTCTGCCCTTGCAAGGCCACGACGGTGAGCAAAAGCCATGAAGCTTTCCCTGCAATCCAATGATTTGGAGTCTCTGCACCGAGCGTAAGTGTGAACACCAGCACTGAGGCACATCGATCGTAATGGCAAGGGGCGGCCACAGCTTGACGACCTCGTCGAAGTCTTTTCGGGCACCGTCAAAGTCCTGCAGAAAATGTCAGCTTTTTCGTCTTTTGTGTGGTTGCGTCTTGCCATGCCTGCAGGTCGGCCCGTGCGCAGCCTCTGTTGAACCTGGGCCCAAGAGGTTTTGCCTTGAGTTCTGGTGAGTGCTGTGAAGTGTGCGCAGCCATTCCTCCGAATCTACCGAATCGAGCATGGAAGTGCGCATAGTCTAGCCCACTATAAACCGTACACTACCTCGGCATCCGATCAAAGTTCAGACACCTACAGTGTGATGAAGTGTTGGAAAAGAGGATCTCCAACAATCGTCGACCCAGTCCACTCCGCATCAGTACTTCATCGGTGGCGGTTTTGCCAAGTCGGTGAATTTTCTCCACAGTCCATGCACCGACACCGACCCGGAAGAACCGAGAAAGTGGCCAGGCTCGCGCACAGTCCGAGTCCAGGCCGATAGCCTTTGAGACATCTTGCGGTATGTCTCCACTGCTACTTGCGCCACGGTACACTCACACAGCGGCGGTGTCATACGGTGCGTTATGGGGAGAGACGTCCCGGCCTTGCTGGATGCCTCGGCAGAAGCGACGATGTCGAGGTTGTCTAGAAGGGCTCCACCTAGAGCGCCTAGGCAAGCTTACGCAGCTTTGGTGCTCTGGGCTTTGCTGTGCCATGCAGAAGCCCGAGCTGCGCACACCATGCATCCACGTTTGCCTTTTCAAGACTTGGAGCATGCCATCAGATAAATAACTTGGATTTCCGCAATCTGTGCATCATCGAACCCATGGCCAGGTGTCATCAGTATGACAAGCTCAGTCCCGGTCCGCATCTAATGTGATGGCCTGCAGTGAAGCTGGCAGCAGCCGCTGTCAAGCATCATGTACAGTACACTTCGCCAGTCACGAAGGAGTCAGCTTTGGGCCGCCCGCACTTCGTGCGTCGCTCACAGACCCGGAAATGTCACCGAGCTCCAGCCTACCAACTGTGCGGCTCACTTCGATGCCGTCAACGTTCTGTAAACTGCAGGAAGATCGCCTGGCCGCTGCTCGCGTGGACCTTCACAAGCTTGGACATCCAGGCAAAGCTCCGAGTGGAAATGGCGTTCTCAGTGCTCATAACTGGGTGACCCGACCAGGCACTGCTCTGGTGCAAATCCAAAGCTAGTGCTTCGCTGCAATCTGTGACGACCTTGAGCAGGGCGGGGTGAGCAATGCCTAACTGCATGCTACCGGGTTTGGCAGAGCCTATGGCTTACGAATATGATCGCTGCACCACGCAGCGCTGAGGCGCTGTTCCCTTGTCCCTCAACAGTTTCTGTGGCGCAAGATGCTTGCCAGGCAGAGCTGACGAATTATGAGCTTCAATTTATGATGACTTTGAAGCTCCATGAAAACGTCGTCATTGAAATCATTGCAGCCTGCACGGTTGCCTGATAAGCCGATGTGCCCTCCCCAAACTGCAGGAAACCGCCGCGCATGTTGCTCCTTGCGTCAACGTCGACTTTCGAATCAGCAGCCTTCCTTCAGTTCTCGGGATCTCGCAACTGGAACTTCTGGAGCTTCATAACTTCTTCTTGCATGCACTTTCTAATCTTACCCCTTTGCATCACGCTGCCGGTGTCCATTGCATGCTCGTCTGAGCTCCTCATCTGGCACTGTTAGGGCCACAGGGTGCGTGATTTTTAACACTTGGTACAATTCTGGATTTGTGATGTCATCCTGGCGCAGGGGCCATGCTGCTCTGTCTATGCCATCATCAGCTGGGAATCGGCAGCTAACATGACTACTGCATGTCAGCAAACGGCGCAGCCACTCCACCTCTTTATCCTCCCAAATTCATCGGAGGATTCACTTCGGTGGGTGCATCAGACCTATGCACGACGGAGAGGAAGCTGGCTGTGAATTCACGAAGACACAACACCACACGATCGGCTGCTACAATGCACACGAGGAATGACTGATGACTTCCGAGTCAACGAGGCTCTCACGACACATCGCATCGCTTCGGTCATCTGAGCTTCGCGCAAATTGCCAATGCGCTGCTTTCAACTTCGCCTTTGCCCTGGTGATGTAGGCTGGCCTCGTCCCCGTTCCCACTTGCTAGATCTTGCGCACAATATCCCGCAAGCTTGAGGAGCCGAGCAAGGTACACATTCAATGGATCCAAGCGGAGCGCCTCTTCTTACTCGAACCAGCACGGCACTACATGCATAGATAAGTCAGCCGGACTCCAACTTTTTCCGAGGCACCTCGTTGGCATCTGCGACAGCATCATCCAGCTTGTCCCTCGTACCGAGTTTTGGCGCTTCATTTGTTTTCTCTCTCAGCAAACTTGTGAACTCTTTTACTTAAGCCAGCTGATCTCCCAGAAGTACATGCTGGGGCTGCTGGCTGCAATCGCTTGGCTTCGGCGCGTGCTGCCCAGCCTTCATGCGAACAATGAGAGAGAAGAACAACTTGCAGCACGATGAAAACACAAGCTGTCTTTCTTGATTCCACTACCAATCTCCCAAGGTCTGTGCAGAACGGGACTCGCTCCTGAGCATCGTATGATTGAAAGCGATGGCTCTCCCACCGATTTCTTCGCACTCTTCTTGACTCTCACATTCGAGCTGGACATGGAACAAGTATCTGAGCATCCGAGGCCAAGTCATTCAGCTGCAAAGCACGAGAGCAGTCTTCAATAGTTCCGTCCTCAATACGAACCACGCGAAACCCATTCCAGATTGGGCCAACTGAGGCGGTCGGGGCGCCAAGTCTCCCAGCGCCACTTTGGCCTGAGCCAGCATCGTGTACAGGTCCGCCAGCTCCTGGCAATGAGAGCACCGCAATAATCCTCATCATAAGTGAAAGTAAGAAGTGTTTAAACTCATGCTCCCGCAATGAAGAATCTGACGTAGCCTCGATCTCTGATCTGTCCATGTCCCGCTCGGCTTCCTATGGGCCCAGACTATTTGGACATCGAAGGATTAAAAGACTCGTGCTCCCCACCACTTGGACGGCAGACATCTCGGCATCAAGGGAATTTCCTTCCTGACCTGCGCGGCAAAGCAGAGTCCCTTTCTGCCTCTGTGGAAGGACGGGCTGGCCTGGCCTCCGTCCCCGTCTTGTGAGTCAGCCACAGGGCTGTCCGGGGCTTGCTCCTCCTGCTCCTGTCCTGCAGCCGTACATCCTCTGGTGGGAAGCGTCGCATCATACTTGGGGTACCATGTCACAGGGCACCGCACCCGGCCTGCTTCCACCTCGGCTTTTTGCTCCGATTCTTCGGGGCTGGGCTCGGTCATCTCCAACTCCTGCAGGCCATTGTCGGTGACTTCTGGCCTCAGACACGGCCAACCCCTTCAATAGTCATTCGCCGAGGTTGCACAAATCGCAACTAGGGCGTGGCTCTGCAGTTGCTGACGTAGTGAGAGAGGCACTGGAGGCAGCAATCCTTGAGAAAGTGTGTTGCGTCACATGGCATACAGGTGCCATCCACTGGTGCACAAAGGCACTTGTGCACCGTCTCGTTGCCAGCGCTGCAAAGCGAACTGAGGCGGCGTCTTGCTGACTGTCTTCTTCTCCTGACAAGACCCATCCCTTGCTGCCACGGGGGGAGTCGCAGATGTGCTGCAGGCTGGCCTTGAACTTCCGACGCTCCTGTGGGGCTGTGAATGGACATGGCGCGTCCGCCGATTGCGCAGGTGCTTCCCAAGTGCGACGGTACGTACAGAGTGTCCTTGTTTCGTGACATGCCGGCTTTCTTTTTGGACTTTTTCTGAGTTTTGGCCTGATACAAGCCCACAGGCAGTACGGGAAGATATGTGAGCACTCTGCAAGAAGATGAGTCTCTCTACACACCCTGCCTCGGCTTCCCCTTTCGGATCCAACCTTGCTGGTGCGCCCAAGTATGTGCGTGCAACCGCTCAGCACGGGCCATCCCACAGTACTTCTTGTTCGCGGCGGCCATCTTAGGTTGTAGCATGGCGTGTACCGCTTGATCACAATACTCAAGGGCCCCTTGGTTGTCACCTCAGTTCTGTGTGGCATGCAGCACAAACTACACGAATTACGAAATTATTGCAGCATGACTGCATGACCATTCATTTACATGGGCCAGGCAGGCGATGCCGCTGTCACGCAGGCTTGCTTCTCTTGACATTTTGACATCAAACCTTGCGACAAAGCTTGGTCACGCGCCCAAATTCAGCAGCGCCGCACCCAGTGTCGACATGGCCAAGCGGCACTGAGCCTGAGCAGTGTTGATTCTTGGCGTCGGCGGCAATCATCGGCAACCGATGTCTCGCATGACATGCGGGGCTGCGGCATCGAGTTCAAGAGACTGCCGACAATCGTCAGCTGCCTCCCGGTAGCATTTTTGCCTCCTGAGTCTCTCACAGTGTTGCGAAGGATGAATCGGAATTGGCAGTGGGACGGAAAAGCAGTTGATGAACAACTTTGACCAGGCTCAGCCAGCCTGTTGCATCCGCGAAGTTTTAATCCTAACTCGTCATTTGCACACAATTAGCATGACAAGCTTGCAAACCAAGCTTCAGCCGCGCTCTGCCCCGCGTGGCCCAGGCAGTAGCCTTGGCGGGTGAAGGAGCTCGCCAGAAACAACAACCAGCTTCATCAAGACGCTCTTGACATGTATCACAACTACAGAAATACATGACCCAGCTCTGCAATGGGCAGCTCACGAGGATTTTTGTGACAGCTAAGGCTAAGGCAGAAAGCCCAGAAAAGTGTAGGGTGATGTGATGCACTCAGACCGCCACGCTGTCTGGAATCGCTTTCAAGGCATCGCTACAGTCGAGCTCGCAGGCGGCAAAGAAGCCCAGTTCTTGGCAGCCGGCGTTTTCGGATCCGTGTGTGCGTGCTAGCCCCGCTTCAGTTATGCGGATCAAACACCTATGTCCTTGCCCTCCTGACAGCACGAGCATGCACCAGGTAACAAACTCAAGCAGGCAACCAATTGCACGTCCAATTCCCTCTAACCGTTCAGGGAGCAGGCGAAGCTGCGCTTGGCCGCGAACGAGCATGGCCTGCGTTTTGCTTTCCCCAGCCCCTTGCCGAAATGCACTGCGACCCAAGCCCAAAGCCTCGCCTCGTGCAAACTGGGGTTCAGGAGCAGCGCGGAGGTACAGGCTTTTGAAACGGACTCCGGCCCCGCCGCGAGACCTCGGCGACAGCAAAGTCACCACTCGTGCACAACATTCTTGATGGACATGCAAGCTTAAGGCAACTTCACCGTTTATATCGTCGATCTCATCCATTGGTGGATTTGTAAATGTTCGGAACATGTGCCTCGGGGTGCCCGAACTGAGGCCCTGGAGTTGAACTCTGTACCAATCCCCGGTCACGGATGCAGAGGTGCAAAGAAGACAAGAGGGCTCGCTTCGTTAAGTCGGAGACCAACCGAGGTCGACACTGACTCACTGACTCTTTTCGTAGCACTTGCATGTCTTCTTCGCCGCCCACGTGCAGCTCTGATGATCCGTCCGAAGCCCTGCGGCCAAGACCGCCTTTTAAGCTCAAGCTCGCTTCATGCTCGCTTGGCCTCCGAAAGGGTGCTGGCCAGAGTAGTTCAGTCTGGCTCCCTCAAGCTTCAGTACTAGTCTGCTAATGGACATCGCGGCATCACGCATTTCCTGCATCATGGCGTTGTCGTGTGCTTGTCTTCAGGCGTTGCCTTCGTGAGCCTGGCTGGACAGTCGTGATTGCACCGTTGCACCGTTCCGGCCGACTGGCCACAAGACTGCCGTGCCTTCCGAGCAGGTGGAGAGGCAGGCAGGAAGTCCGCGGCGCCATTTGTGGAAGGTTTCGTGCCGCGGAAGCTCCTTGGACGGAAGATCTGCTTCAAGTACACTCCGCAAAGCTCCATATGCTAAGTACAGTGTCGGTGACAGCCTATGGCCAGGCCTGCAACCAAATCGAAGCGCGCCCCACGTCAAGCTTTCTTGTGGTATAGCATGCCTGGTTCAAAGGGATACCAAGTCCTCAAGCGATCGTTTCCTTTCTCCGGCCTCTCATCCATCACGGACAGCCGGCTCAAGCTGCAGTGGCTCTCCAGCCTGAACTGGGATCCCAAACCAGGGCCCATCGGAGCCCCAAACCCTCCGAAACTGCCTCGTCGGGTATGTGAAATGCTTTGCCCAGCGCGGGCAAATGGCTTGCCCGGCGGCGTCTCCGTAGCAGCCTGTATGCATCTCCACGCATCTCCGTAATCATTGTTGCTTCAACTTGCTTTCACCGTCTGCCACCTGTCATGCACTGAGCCTCATGACTCCGATGAAGGCATTTTCGGATCTCCAGCTTGGACATGGCTTCGCCAGCTTCTGCTTCTGCACGTCCTGGAGAGCGGGCTGAGGGCTGCTGTCGATGGGCTTCGCTTGACCGCCCTTGACGGTCCACGTTGTCATGGTCCATGAACGCAGGCACCCATACATACCTTTGACGAGGCGATTCGAGCACGGACTGACAAAATCAAAACCGGAACGGCTCTGGGCCCCGCCAGCATCGATGACGGTGCGCCTTCTCCAGCCTCATGTGTGTACTCCGACCGCACCCCCCACTTACCATCCCTGCAGTCTGAGCTATGCAGGGCGGAAAAGGCATACAGGCTTGCAGAGCCTCGATGGCTGTTTCGAAGGTTATATAGCTCCAAGCACGCACAGACAAACACAGGAACAGACTCTGCCCATGCCACGGTGCATGGAGAAGACGGGATAAGCTTTGCTCCCGACATCTTCTCCAACGATTTAATGGAAACCATCCGCAAAGCCTCCAGAAGTTCCGGGCCTGGATCGTCCATGCTCCGCTGCAAAGAAGGGGAGAGCCACACACTGAGGCACTGAGCTCTTGGCCAACCTGCTGCATGGGCCATCGAACAGTGAAGCCAGAGGAGTCGAAGATCTCACCAAAAGGCGGCTCCTCGGTCTCAGACCGGATGTGAAGTCACAGTTGGAGTTATGCAGTTCTACACAAGACTCAGCCTGTTCGCAAGCTTTGAAGTTGTCCGGATGCCGTGTGACCTGCTAAACCGGGCTTCCTTTGAAGGCGCTTCGTCGCAGTATCTTGCTGAGATGTGAAATTGGCGGACTTCCTATCCTGTTCGACTGGTTGTCGCGTTCTCTGCACCAGCGGTGCTCGTTCCATTCCACGTGCATGCAGTTAGTTATTGTGGTTGAGTGGAAGCTGCGTCTGTCCCTTGCCAGACCGTCTGCCCGGTTGTATCCGTGGTCTTGCATAATATCCGATACCTGTTTGCCACAGCATGGACCATGGGCTTGACTTTTTCATTCCTGAACCGTCGGGAGGAAAACCAGCCGGCAAACAACCATGCAACCTGGGTCGCCAGCTTGATCCTTCGCCAAATAGACAATCGGCGAAGTTTTAGCAGAACCCGAGGGCTGGGCATAGAAGTCGTTCAGAAGGACTGGCACGCAATCGGAAAAGAGCACACGGAAGAACCTCACAAGCACGAGCTGCTTGGCCCGAAACCAGGTGCAAAGACGAAGCACTCTTCTGAGAAGTTTTGTCGGTAGTTGGGTCAAACCCTGATCCTGCGGGAGCACCTGGAGGACCATGCCGACTTGCCCCTCGGAACGAAGCAGAACCGGGAAGACAGGGCTCCTTCGGTCGCCTGGTCGGCAGGAAACAGCAGAAGCTCTGGCAGCTGAGGGTATGCAGCTGAGGCCTCTCGATAGGGTACATCTTGGCGGATGTGGAGGTCGGGCCTTGGCCGCAATGCACTGGACCCCCCCCCGCCCGATTCGCGACTTCTCGCCCACCATCAAAAATAAAAATGTGGGAGGAAATTCTCATCCGCTCCCACCCCCCTCCAACCAAAAGGGCTCTGAAGCCTCCCCTCCCGACGCCTGGTGTGTCTCTGGCACAACTTGATGGGCGGGGTTCTGTCCCCTGGCGCAGCATTCGCATTTCCACCGCGGTCCCGCGAACCGCATTCAGTGAGATGGGTGCCGCCATCACTTCCCAACCATCCCAGGATCATCTGTTCCTTGCCAAGAGAGGTTTGGCGGCAGGTGGAGCGTTTAATCCTCGCCCCACTTTGGCGAACGCTGCCCGTATCAAGGCGCTTGTTCGGCACACTGGCCTGTGGTTGGCTCGAGCAATGCCAGGGTGTCGGTCCACGGTTCTCGCAGGCTTCGACTCGGTTTTTTGAAGGGGCTTGTTGGGCTTGGAACTGCTTCCGACGCTTTACCGTTCAGTGCACGAAGCGGCTTCCCTGAATTCGAACACTCGAATATGACGGGTCAACGAACCGCTAGTGATGGCATGGAACTACCACAACCGTGCTTTGACGCCCGGTTCACGCCATGTCCTGCTGGATGGCTTGCGGCTTGCGTTTGCGTGAGCACAATCGACACTTCCCGACATGGGGGATCGGGACAGGGAAGCCTCTGTGTCGGGATCCTGTTGCTGTCATGTTGCTTGAAGTGACTCCCCATGGGTGGGCGATTCAATGGTGGCGCTGAAGTTGCGCACAAGAATTCGCCTCTTGCGACCGGAGGGCTCGTTGGCCATCTCGAGCAGGAGCTCACGTGGAGAGCCTGAGAACAGATCTTTGCTCACAGCCCGCTGGCCTGTATCAGTGTTCACGAGGGTAGTCTCGGGTACAGCCACCTTTCTTGCATGACTGCACGAGGCGGCTTATGAGATCCCATACTCGCATATGGAGCATCCCTGCAAAATCTAAACAAAACCCCCAAGGTAGACTTCCAAGCAAAGCACTGGAGTTCAAGCCGCCCTGCGCATTGTGCAGGGGTCGATTCCAGCCGACCTGATCTTTTGGGGACCGGTCCAGAGCCCCATTCTGTTATGCTTGAGTTTTCTCGCAGGCCTTTCCATCTGAGCAAAACAACTACTGGCTTTTCAGTCTCAGTGTTACAAGTAGTACTATGCTGATGATGGTGTGTGTGGTGAAGATGATGCAGGTGATGAAAGTTTCGACAAGGGAGTAGTAGGATATGAAGATGCAGGAGATGAAACAGAAGATGATGATGGTATGGCTGTCTGTCAAGCAGGACATGTACCAACGCGACATGAATAATTATGTGAGAATCGTCTCTATCTGCCTCTGTCTGCCTGCCGGTCGGCCTGCCTACCTTGTTGGAGATGCTTTGCTCGGCATCCGTCTCTGTATGTCGTATGTCTCTGCTTGCGTGCATGAAAGCTAGCAGCTAGCATGCATACATTACATACATTGCATACATACACACACAAACAGAACAGACAGACAGACAGGCAGGCAGACAGACAAACATACATACATACATACATACCTACATACATACCTACATACATACATACATACACACATACATATACCACACCATACATACGTACCGTACCGTACCGTACCGTACCGTACCGTACCGTACCGACATACATACATACATACATACATACATACATACATATACCATACCATACCATACATACGTACCGTACCGTACGGTAGATACATACGTACATACATACATACGTGCATGACTGCATTACATTCATCCATACAAGCACATGCATGCGTCCATGCATCCAGACATTCAAAATCATCCATCCATCCATCCATCCATCCATCCATGCATCTATCCATCCATACCTACATGTCTGCGGATATGTATGTGTGTACGTGTGCACCTAGCTATAAAGCGACCACCCATCGACGGAAACTCCAACACTCTGCGTGCCGCTACAGAATGGCTGTCATCACTGCTTGCGGTGCTGTCCCTGAGTATGTGTCACAGTCTCGTTTAGGACCGGGCAAAGTCTGCCAAGAACTGCCGCGATGCAGGCTTTGGCGTGACTTTGGACAGTTGCACCACCTCCCCGACAGAGATCCTGCCGGGGATAAGGATGTCCTGACTTGAGTGCGGGCCAGCAACATGTCTATCACGGGAATCGATCGGGCACTTTGCATTAGCTCCTCTGTCTACCAGTCCATGCAACCGGTGGCACTTCACAGCTGCAGCCCGCAAAGTCCTTCCACTGCGAAAACGAGGGAGTTGCGATGTCCCGATATGGATTCCAAAGCTCCGTTTCCTCAGCCAGGAGAGAGTATAGTATGGTATAGTATAGTAGTACAGCATGGAGCAAATACCGCTGTTGTCAACTTGATGTCACTTGCACATGGTGGGGGCCAAGCGACCGTCATAAGGAAGATGGCGTCCTCGACATGCGAACGCCATGAACGGAAGGGCCCATCGGCTCCTCGGTCGGCAGCCTCGAGGGCCTTTGAGCCTCCCTTGCCCAGTCATACGGATGCAACATCCGATGCTTCTGAGGAGCCAAAGCCACCACCCCAGACGAAGACGTGGTCCCTGCCCCGGGAACGTCTGTAATGTGTCAGTCGCTGCACCAGGCCTTAGTTGCAAAGCTTGGGCAGCAGGTCAGCCCCAAAACGCCTTCCTGCAGCAACCCCCAACTCTCTCTCCGCAGCTGCATCCTGGTCCTATAATGCGAGACAATCCACTACGCAGCATTCCAAAGTCAGTTGACCCTGAGCGAAAAAAGGAGGTCGAAATTTGATGGCTGCTTGCAGCACTGCAGCTCTTGAAAAGCTCATCAGACTGTGCCTGGGCACGATGTCTGCACTTGTCACTTGTGCTTTCACGCGTGCCAGTCTTTTGTGGCACATGTGGGGGATTCAGCAGACGTGCCTCTGTGAACGTCTCCACGTTCAGATGGCAGGCGGTGTAGTGAGGAACAAAAAAGAAATCCGCCTTGGATGCGAACTTCAAGAGTCACTCAAGCAAATGCCACATACCGACATGGGTTTCACTTTGCGACCAAGCGGGCCTCCGATGGATCATCGGTGCGGCAGGGGCATGACAGAAACCATTCGTGCAAACTGACCTCAAAGCCCCACTGGTTCTCTCCTTGGACCACAAATCAGGCTTCAGATGTCTTCAGTAACTTCAGAGAGAACAGCTGCACGACAATGTGGTAAGCGCGAGGCTGCAAAAGGATGCTCCACGCGCAAGTGTCTGAAGCTCCGGGTACTCCTGTTGCGACACCGACTGCGGACCCAACGAAAAAATCAAAGAGCTTCACCGGACTCTAACTCGAACCGGGCACTTGAAAATTGCTGCTCCTCAACATCATAGACGTAAATCTTCAGGGAATCTCGGAGAGAAACTCCTTCCTCCACATCATCTGAGCTTTGAAATCCGAAGACGTTGCCGTCGAAGCCTTGATGGCACAAGACACATGCCTCCTATCATGCAGAAGAACGAGATGAGGCTGGCACGTTCGCCCTCGCTGTTCTTCCATTTCGTAGTTGTCCTGTGGATCTGCAACAGTCTGCATTGTGACACCTGCATGGCCACAGCCCTCGTGAAGCTTCATGTCACGGGTTTCTACGGCCAGTCCTCTGCTGCGATACGCTAGCCAGGTGTCTCCTCATCGAGTCCAGCTGGTCGACCTTATCTGCGCCGGCTGCGGCCTACTCTTACATTATGTCGATCTACACGAGCTAGCAACTTAAGTTGAGTCTTCACGATCCATGCTGGCACCGGTGACCCTGAGATCGAAGCGGTGACAGGCCAGCGCTGGCCATCATCGGTGATTTGATCAAACTTGTCTGGATGTAAGCTGGACCTTGGATCAGCCCGTATATAGGGCGCTTCGCCTCCGCTGTTGTGGCGCACATTGCAGGCCATAGCATGCAAGCAGCACGTAGCCGCTCATCGATCTCATCAGATAGACGGCTGATTCCCAGCTGCCGTCCTCCTCACCAGGAGCACGAGCACGACATTCTCGCAGTCGTTTAACCCCGAAGCATGCTCAAGTCAAGCACGTGAGGCTGCGACTTCCAAGGAGTATTTTGCGAGAAAGTAGATGGAGGTCTGAGCTACAGTGCCATTTCGGTATGACATGGCAACTGATGCGTATAAGACCTCTGCACAACAGCCCCTGGGTCTGCTACAATAACTCCAAGGAGGCAACTCTTCGCCTCTTCATCCATAACCTTGGTCCTTCAAAGACAAAGCTCAAGTCTGAAGCTACTGAAACGTCACCACATGGAGAGCAATTGAGCTTCTGACTTCATCATGTCCTTTGTGTGCATCCATTCCTGGTCGAGCTTTCTAGACTGAAGATAATGTCCAACCACGGGCGCTGGTCATCGCTGGGCTGCATCCTCTTCGTGCCGACTGTAGAAACCCCAAGCAGTACAGTACACATCCATTCCAGCAGCGTCTCGCCGACTCCCGCCAGGTCGTACTGAGATCTCGGCGAAAGCGAAAGCTGCCGCGTCTCGCCACTCTTCCGTGGCCAGGCGTACGAGCTGGCGGCGGTACCTCCCATCCATCATGGCAGAAAACAGAGGAGGAGTCCTGGGGATGTGTGCACACTGTGTGCGTGTTTGGAATCGTTTGGGTCCCGGCTCTGGCCAGCCCTCGGCGGATTCACAGCCCGGGTCCTGTGATGACGCTTTCTGACCCATCGCTTACCACTCAACATCGTTGCCTGCGGAAACTATGCAATAGTTAAGAGTTGGGGACGAGACCTCATGTTTGCACCGGCCCATCAGGCCTACGTTCCTGTGGTTGCTGCAATATCCGTACGGTCCTATGTTCCTGGGGCCCTGCTGCATGCAGCTGAGGTTTGTGCAGTGATCTCGTGCAACTCACACTTTCCAGCGCACCATGCGCTCTTGAAATCACAGGCTCTGGGATGCTCTGATAATCCCAAATCTCCCAACTCCTAGGTAAACAGACATGTAATGCTCTGTCCGACAAGGCAGTGGCCGACTCTGGCTTCTTTGCAAACCTGGCTTCATCGGACAGGTAAGGATTCAAAACGAGACACGCTGCTTGCGCAGTCGCAATTGCCGAGCAACTCGGGATCGTCTGCCAGTGTGAGCCCACCTCCGATGTGCCCCTTGTTGACCCTTCGCTCGCCTAGGCTTCTTTGGCAGCAATTTTAACCATGAGCCATAGGCTGGGCTGACACATCTGGTGCAAAGAAGTGGCCAGGGTCAAAGGCGGGATGAGTCTGGCCCCTCGGAGGTGAAGCATCGGCCAGGAAATAGAGCAATGGTAGAGCCTGCAGCAGTCTGCACTGCCTGCACCCTATCCTGGCTTCGGATGGGGCAGCATCCAGCCTTGAGCGCCATCCTCCCCAGCCCCATGAAGGCTCCATGCATCGAGGTTGCGGGACGGATCCGGATGCCGAGATGCTCTCATGATGCACTTTGGGTTTAGCTGCAGCTGAGGGGATGTTCAACATGCAACTGGTCTGCTGGGGTTTGCAGCAGCCCAGTGCTCTCAGGGATAGCTGCAACATCAGCTATGAGCCCACACTCCTTTTGAGGAATGCCGTGGAACTTCTGGCTGCCAGACATGCCAGCGAAGACATGCTTCCCCTACGCAACGAGACGAGCCAGCACACTGTCCGGGTTTGACCATGGCGCCAGGTCCCGTGCGCATTCGGCCCAGGGCGGTCACCTCTTGTAGGAAAGATTCCACTTCTGCTGCTAGGTTGGACTGCTGGTTGGAATGCTGCTCTGCACCTGCACTGCCAACAGCTCAGGCCAGCTCACCTCTCGCTGTAAGATCCCGGCCAGGTGGCAGTCGGCCTGCTCTTTGCTGGTTAATCCGCCAGCGTCCAAAGCAGCCTCTGCAGAACCCCTCGCACAGCTCACGGAATGCCCTGCCGGTGAAGAGCGAAAGGAATGCACGTTGCTCAAAGGCAGTGCGCTAGCGTTCGCCGGGTTGGGTGTCCAGGTCGAATCACCAGGCTATACCTACTAACAGGCGCTGCGACTTCAAGTATGCAAGAAGCTCGGGTTGATGTTGGCTGCCCCGAGCTGTCAGAGGAGGCAGCTGCGGGTCATTCCACCGCGCCGGGCTTTCGATTTCAACGCAGAAGTGGATACAAAGTGCGTGTGTCGTGCAGCAAGTCCTTGAAACCTGACTGCGTGTTTGGCATCTGGGAAGTCAAGTCGATGGGTGCACACTTGTATCATATCTTGTCGCAGTTCTTGTGACAGACACTGGCATGCGATCTTCATGTCGCATGGACATCCTCGCGCGACTTACCTGGAGTCTGTATATCCAACCAGTGTCACCAATTCTGCCATGATGGAGGCTGCATCTTCAAGCATCCAAAGCCGAAATTTGACCACTTTGCTATGCTGAGTTGTGGCAAACAGAGACATATGACGACATGTCCGATTATGACCTGCGAGCGGCAGCAAACATAATCAGTCTCATGGAACAGGCATCCAAAAGAGGCCTGAACAGCCCCGTGAAGCGGCACAAGCGGGGAAGGGCCTGGCTGTCGGCCAGTGCCTCGCGAAGTCGTCCCAGTTCCTCACCGACGCCGAGGCAGAGCAGCGAACAATGCTAGCTTGGCACTAGATTCACCAGATGTTCAAACCCTCCGCAGACCGTAAGGCTTAAGTAACTTAAGCTTCCCGGTTCTTGCTGAAATCAGCCCAGTAGCCAAGCGGGCTCTGCTTCTTCGCCACAAGATGTTGGCCTTGCAGTTTTGGCGAATGACGATTCTTCGGAAGGGATGTCGCAGTTTCACGGGACCTACTGTACCAGGATGCCAGGTTCAGCGCATGCGTTGGCTCTTGCGCCAGGAAGGTGTCGAAGTCAATAGCCTCGTCTCCACGCTTGACGACGGGGGGCGACCACGGCCGTTACGAAGAGAAGGTTCGTGCCAAGTCGCCGCATTGAGTGCATCGCCTGACTGCAGCCGTGCCTCTCCTGCGAGACACGGAACTACCGCAGCCGGACTCCAAGTGCCAGCAGGCCATGGTCAGAAGATTGATACAACGCGAACACGCGGAGCAGTCCGCGTGAGGAGTAGGCCAAGGTGATGCGCCCGTCCAGCCTCGAGGGCCGAGCTGGGCAGGCGAAGCACAGAGGCACAGACATAGGTCATCTGGGATGTCGGTTTCTGGGAAGCCAGCTCCAAGGCTGCAGTGGCATCAGCGATGGCCCCCTGGGCAGTTTACATCTTTGCATGTCACTGCTCCAGTTTGAATGAGTCCCCCGACGCTCATGGGGCCTCGAAATCACCGTGCTGAAGCTTGGCCTGAGAACGGTGAAGCCAGATCGTGGGCCAGCGGGATTCCACCTGCACTGTCACTGGTCGGCTCCACAGGTCTATGTGACTTCATGTGTTTGCACATGCCGGCCTCAATCGCTGTGTTCAAAGCAGCTAGTGCCCCTGTGCCCACATCAGGATCACAAAAGAAGCTTCTGAAACATGTGAAGTCTCTTTGAGGCCTCCGGTGTCACCTTTCTTGAGCTCGATCTCGGCACAGGAAAAGCCATGCAAAGTAAGTACTACGATCAGGTACGATAAGGCTTTTTGCAGCCCTGCGACGTCTCCCAAGTTTGAGAAGTCGAAAGCGCGGCATGGATCTTTGAACTCGCCCCGCAGTAGCCGCACAGACATGCACCAGCTACCTGCCAAAGCTGTGAAAGCCAAGCCGGTCATACTGCAAATCACACAAGGCATCGCAATACCCCTGCCTCGGAGTCAGGAGGGCGATCGCCGGCTGCATCTGCCTATCCCGGCCCCTTTCCCCCGTTTGGGGCAGCCCCTGGCCCCAGAGAGGTATCTTGGCCCCTCTTGAGCCAGAAAGGATATCGACGCAGGCAGCCCTCCAGAGCTGATCGAAATATCCGGAAGACTGACATAGACCTTTGACGGACAAAATGCGCCATTCTGGCAGAGACCTTTTCGCTGCAGCACTCTTTGAGCTGCGGAGCCCCCACTACGTATCGGTCGCGTGGTGCGACACAGGGCAAGAAGGGAACCGGATAACTGGCTAGGCTGCATGTTGAGCAGCTCACCTATCGAAACTTCCAGGAGTGATTGATTTGCACATGCCACCAAGAGAACCTTTCTAAGCGAATTGAAGCTCGTGGACAACCCCTTCAGCTGTGCATCCACTCGCAGCATTGTGGCCCTGACCCTCGTTTTCAGATCCATCCTCTTGACCTCGCCCAAGACTTCCATCTGCCCCATGTAGTCTCCTGCTGCGATGTGTGAAGTGGGTCCAAAGCTCGTCTAAGGCTTCTGCCAAGGCGCTTTTTCGTGAGCCAGGTCTTCCTGCCAGTCTCCGACTCAAAGACGCAAAAGGATTGGTCTCGTCCGTGTGGCTGTTTTTATCTAAATACACCCTGCATGGAATTCGTATTAAGATGCTGCCGTCGGCAAGGCTGCACCGGCCTTGCTCTCCCAGTCTGCGAGTTCCGCCAAGCGGAGCCGCAAGGCCTTAACTCGCGATTCCAGGGCCCCCGCGGGACCAAGCGTGCTCCGTTCTCTTCTTAGACGTCTAATGCTTCGCATGCTGAATCAGCCGTTGTGTCTCGCATGTAAGCTTTTGCTACTGGCAGCACTCGACAGTACCCATCCGGCTACAACGCTCCTGAAGGTGGCGCAGGGCTCGACTGAGCCGCAAGCTGGCTGCAAGCCTGCCTTGCGAACATTGACAGAAGATCCAGCAACGCTCGCTGAACCCTTGAAGGCGCATGCTCGGGGAAGGATTCTTGGAAGCTATCAACAAGGACATCCTTTCACCACCCGATGCATCAGAACCCCAGATGCGACCGGCCCAGCTACATAGCAGCTGCTGCCAGCATATGGGACCTTGATGAAAGCTTTCAACCTGAGAGCTGATGACATCTGGGCACAACACGGACAGGCTCTGCCGTAAGAAGTGCCTTGCTGGGCCGAACATCCGACTGAGGTGCGTTCCAGTGTGGCCAGCGCCGCCGCACCGGCAGATCCAGCTGAGCATCCTCGCGCCAGAATTGATACTGTACTGAGGCAGTTGTCATCTTCATGCCCGCCAGGCAAGGTGGCGATTCGTTAAGCCGCCGAAGCAAAAAGCCCTGGGCTGGCCTCAAGCAAGCCTCGAATGTCGCCTCTGTGCAAGCGGCGTTGTTGCCTTGGCGTACCTGGCTTGGACCCAGCATGCATAGCAAAGGCTTTCTCGACTCGCAGGTCAGTTGCATCATGAGACAACAGCACAATGAACAGCAGCCCGAGAGAAGTGCACCATGCAAAAGGACCAGGCCACCAGCCTGCCATGTTGAGCTGCAAAATGTCTGAAATCTAGAGCCTGGACATGTCGCCTGGACCTGCTTGCTCGTGCTCTGCCCTCACCCAACTTTAATGACGAACACATCTCTGAAGCGCAACAGACGATTCATCGCGATCGTGAGCCTTTGACCACTCTCGCTCCTCGTGTCAAGAGCACTGGTTTGCATCCCGGCGGGCAAAGAGCTTTGATTGCAGCATTTGCCAACCGAAAGTGCAAATTCTATCTGATCAAGTTGAGGTCGCCCGTATGGATAATTGATTCAGATTCTGCGGTCATATTCATCCCATCCGGCTGCACTGAGCCCATGAGGTCCCTGTGTCTTCCCATGAGACTGCTGCCACTGCTGATCGATGCTATCAGCGTCTCGCAGTCCCAAGCTCCTAACGGTCTTATGGTACCGGTGGACACCGAAGTCACAAGAGCAGAAGTTTTGCGGCTTGCGTGTAAGTATATGCAAGTGCGCTGCATGCATGCATGCATGGACTGGGACGGCACTGGCGATGTGAAAAGAGTTGTGTGTGCAGTAGCCTCTGTGATTCGATTTGCGGATGTATACCATGTGTAGAGTTTGGCAGGCTTGGGTGCACATGTATCATCTGCGATCGATATCATGCCTTTTGGTTCAAGCCTTGGCAGTTGAGCCAAAAAGGCAGGATTTTGTTGCCCGCCCTCCCTCCCTTTTACTGAGACGATCCCCCGTGGGGCTATCCTCTCTCTTAGGGTGGGCAGCGAGAGTTTTCTCGACTGCATTCGGAGGGGGATATCGAACCGTGTTGGTTCGAGGTGGGGCTTGCAACCCGGAGTCGACCCGGGTTTTGCTAGCCCCATTCATCCGGATGTTTTACCAAAGCATTTCCCGTAGTAACGGGTTCTACAGACTGGGACGGCACTGGCGATGTGAAAAGAGTTGTGTGTGCAGTAGCCTCTGTGATTCGATTTGCGGATGAATTGTAATCAAACAAATCCTGCCTCACAAAGACACAGTTTGCGCTTCGATTTTCGGCGATTTCCGCCTGACTAGCGTGCTGCAACGGAAAAAACAACGCTCGACCCGAGGTTGCTATCCCCCCCTTAGTTCGCAACATCATGGAGCACCTGCCTGAACCCACGCGGTGCAGTTCCTTCGTGTAGAGCGAAAAATGCTTGGGACAGATCGTCGATTTTGGTCCCGCACGTGAATCGCACGACGCGGGAAATCGTGTGACGCTGCGTCCGGTTGCGCTTCGTTTCAGACATACATAAGCACGGACAGAGACAGACAGACAGACAGACCGGCGTTGTAGAACCCGTTACCACGGGAAATGCTTTGGTAAAACATCCGGATGAATGGGGCTAGCAAAACCCGGGTCGACTCCGGGTTGCAAGCCCCACCCCGAACCAACACGGTTCGATATCCCAATGCACTAATCCCAAAGCACTTCTACAGAAACTGAAACACCAGCATGGCCGGCACCAGAGGCAGAGACCACACCTCGGTAGGAAAAAGAGCGTGGTGAAGGCAGAAGCCGCGAGAAGCAGCCCACGGGTCCGACGCACCCAATCGACTGATCGAGTCGGACCAGTTGGACTTACTGGGTACCCACTCCCAGTAGACCCAAACTTGAAGAGAGAAGAGGGCCACATGAATGAGGTGTGCCAGCCGCTCGAGGTCGGGAGAATCGGAACGCCCTCGAATGAGTGCCATAAGTGCGGCTACGTTGTCAATATACCATGTGCCACGACGAGAACGAAAGGTAGAAGCCCGGGCTGTGAGGGCGAAGAGGACCATTGATAGCTCGAGCTGCGCGATTTTAACCTCCCCCGGGAGAAAAGCATCATACGTATGCCGATCGACCTGTGCCACGAAAGCTTCGCGGCCGGGCTCACTGCCCGGCCAGAGCAACAGGAAACCGCCCGTGCCCTTGCGCGGTTCGTCCTCCGCGGCGTCGCTAGCTGCGACGAATCGGGCACAGGGGGAGGGGAGCACCTCCACGGACCGACGCGGTCGCAGTGCCAAGATGGCTCGGATAACCTCGAATGACGAGCGGATAGCTGGGGTCAACTCCCGAGCTGTCTCGTACTGGCGTTCCTTGAGGGCGCCGATGCCCCCCGTGCCAATACGGCCATACACTCCCTGTTCGAGGAAATTGAGCATGCCATACAGCTTCGACGCCAAGCCTGGCGGCAGGCAATTATCCTGCTCCGCCTGCAACAAAAGGCCCTCGACCTTGGCCTGGAGCCTGGACCGGACCCAGAACCTTACGACGTGGTGACGCCCCACGTCGCAAAAGTCCCACTCCAGCCCGAGAAAGTCGCCGACTGTGCTCATTGGCTGTCGCTTTGCCTCCGCGAAGGGGGAGCCCAAAAGTTTGTTGACCTCGGAGAAGGCGAACTGGGCTGAGCCCTTCGCAGAAGCCGGGTCTGTAAGGTGCGCATCGTCGAAATACATAGAGACCAAGACACAGACGAGCCGGCGGCCCACCGCCTCGGAGAAACGGCTGAGCCGATTGAAGCTGGTCACTGCCAAAGGGAGCCCGAAGAGAAGACCCGAATATACCTGGTACGCCGGCTGGGCCCAATCCTTGTGGTACCATACCACCACGCAGGCCCTGGACTGGTCCTCGTCCATAGGGCAATGGCGATAGGCGTCCGGCCAGTCTTCGCCGCCGCCTTCCCACTGGTCTTCCTCCAGCAGGCGGCGGGCGACCGCCGGGCTGGCGCATCGCATTGCCAAGGAAACATGCTGGGCCGGGCGGAGGGCTGAGCATAACACCAACTTGTTAGAGTCAGAGCTTAGCTCGCTCTGTCCTCCATGGTCCGCGTTGTCGATCACCCTCTGCTTCCCGGAAGCCTGAGAAATCACGCACCTTGGTATCAAACGAATCGGTTTGCCCTTGGTGTGGCGAAGAAGCTCCGACCAGGACAATGGTGCCGAACAAAAACCCGCTTCGAAATCCTTGGTAGATTGCTCCAGCAAAAAGTCATCGTGTGGGCCTGGCCGAATAGAGCCTTGGACAGCTTTGTTGTGGGAGTCCACGTTCTCGAAAAGCCGGTGGAGAGGAATTGTGTCGAAGCTCTGCTGTGGGAAGACTCCGCAGGGGAGAGAGGTACCGACCGCGGGCATGCCGAACAAAAGGTGTGAAGGGAGAGTGGTGTCCGGCCAAGACAACAGAACGACGAAGAGACTGAGCAAGCCCAGGTCCCGCTGGGCCGTGACCTTCCGGACCGCCGGGGTCTGGAGCTTACGCAGGTGGTCCCCCACATGGCTCCAACGGCGCTTCAACTCCCGAAGCGGGCCGACACACTCGCGCCTCAACTCGCGAAGGCGGCCAAGAGACCCGACAGTCATCGCTGCCGCAAAATG